ACTGTGGGCCTTACAAGCTTTGGATCCTAACCCTAATCCCCAGATCCCCAAATAACCCCTATATAATCCCAGTTTCCATTTCATTTTCCATTTTCTTTTCCATTTGATTCTCCATTATTGGGGTAATAATGGGTACCATAATATCCCCAAATAAGTACTACTCAGGTGAGCCTCATCAGCTTCCGGAGTCATGGTCGTTTTCCGTGATTTCTTGGGTTTGGTCGCCTTCCATGCTCTGGTTTTAAGGGTTCAAGAGGCAAGGGCTTTAGGCTACAGTGATAAGAAAGGTTGCACCATCTTAATATCCTTGGATCAAGCTGTGAACTAATGCACTTTAGGCATAAATAACGTAGGGGTTCTTGTGATACCGTTGTGCCTGCATGCAACGCAAGGCAATATCTAAACCTGATAATGCATTGATGTGCATCGGTCTCACAAGGTGTACCTCATGCATTGCTTGAGGCATACGTATACCAATCATAGCCTCCTGTCTCAGAGTGAGCGGAAGTAACAAACCATCGATCTGCCATGAAAGCCCCGTCGCCTCGTCCTGAACATGAACAAACATATGCCTCTTCATCTACCTAACATGATGCCTAATACACATTAATACAACACCCCGAAACTGACCTGATACTGTTTAGAACCCACCGGCAACAGCTGCTGCTGCTGCTGCTGCTGCTGCTGCTGCTGCTGGTCGTCCCACTACCACCACCAGCACCACCGCCGCCGCCTCCACGAAGATGACGAAGACGACCCAGAACAACAACCACCACCACCACCACCCGCCACCACCCCGCCACCACCACCACCACCACCACCACCACCACCACAACAACAACAACAACAACAACGATACTAGCACTAGCCCTGATGCTCCTCCTGCTGCCACCGTTGGCACGATATTGCTGTCATTGCAAGACGACGATACTGCACTGTAGCATTACTGCACCGCTGCACCACTGCTCCTACTGCTAGTGCTACTACTTATTAGGGTATATTATTGGGGTTATATGGGGATAGTGGAAAAGAAAATGGAAACTACCATATTATATAGGGATTATATAGGGGTACTGCAGGTGCTACTGCTGCGATGGCAGAGGCTAGTACTACAAGGCTTTCGTCTGCTACCCATACTGGTATCTAGGACGCGGTTTAGGGTGTAAGAATGAGCAAGCACGTAGACGAGTGCATCTTGTTGAATTGCGGTCAACTCAATTTTCACACATGTACCCAAACCTGTCCTATGACCACTAGTACCCTAACCCGCAAGTACCTGACGATTGGCTACTTGGACCCTAGACCCGACGCCTTATATACCCTATGTTCCCTATGTAGCGCCATACTATACATCCTTAGACCCACTTTACATCAACCCTTATTGGCTACTTGGACCCTCCGGGTTGATAACAGGAATGAGGACTTCTCCAAGTGAGCAGATCCTGGGATGAATAAGTTGTTCAATGCGGGTTTTTTCCCGGTGGTTACATAGGTGATATGTGAAACAGCTTTCAAGTGTCCTGCCCTGAGCTACTAGCCGAACCCAAGATATGTAGAATGCTGGCGGCTTTGGGTCTTGTTGACGGGTTTGGGGCTAAATCCTAGAACCCTGAACTTACCGCTCAGTAGGGAAGGAGGGAATATACTCCCTATACAAACCCTATATAACATGTTCCCTGAACGCCTACCAAGAGCCAGTAAGTAAGCCCATTATCTTACCTACTTTTGAGGTCCAGGTAGCGCCTCAGCGTTGGCCGGGCTTGCTGTCTCGGCGGCACGCTTGCGCACTGTGGCCTAGCATGAAGTGGGGTTTCCCAATTTCGGTGTACTTTTTAAGGGGGCATATAAGGGTTACGTATAGGAATATGTAGGCTTTAATTAGGGTTTAGGGTTTCCCAAAAACAAGGGGTACCGTTTTTTTTTGTGTTTTTAAACTAGGGGTAGCTTTTTGGGAGTCCCTCAATCAGGATTAAAGTATTGTGTGGTCCATATTGGGGTCCCCCCCTATGTTGGGAAAAGCTGGCAAGTGGGCGCATGAAGAATTGGCGGTGCCGAGGTTTTGCGCTCATGAGTAAGCCGCTACATGATATAATACAAAACCGGACATAAATCCTAACTCCTATACCCTAAAGCTTCTCTACCCCAAATTCAAAATCGCAGCCCTAAGCCCTAAACCCTATAAACTCTGACCTCTAAACATGCATTAGCCCAACGTAGGTGGCGTTTTAAGCATCTAGCGCCGAAAGTAGGTAATTTGTATGACAGTAGGTAATTTGTATAGACTTGCACCCTCGGGAGCATGGAGGCTTGGAGGAGAAAACCCTATGTCGTTCCTATTGGTTCCTGTATATCCTAACCCTATATAACTCCCTCTAAAGCTACCCCGAATTCTTCACACCTAAAACCCTAAACCCTGAACCTTAAACACCTACAAACCCCTAAGCCCCGACAACCCTAAACCCTAAACCCCTTAAACCCTAAACCATACAACGTTTAGAAGGCTGGGAGGTTGGAGAAAGCCTCGCTGGCCGAAGCACCCCGAAGCTCCTCCAGATCCACGGGTCGAGCTACGCCTAAGCTGACGAAGTAGGGCTCGGAAATATGATAGTTTCCCAAAATTAGGGTACCCCAACATAGACCCCAATATACTATAGTCTGTATTATAGGGACCCCCAAAAAGGTACTCCTAATTTTGGGAAACCCCCATATATGCTTGAGGATTTATATTGCAAGCCTGGGGTTTTTCAGGCTTTTAAATTCAGGGGTTGGGTTTAGGAGTTGATGTTTAGGGCGCTTTTTTTTCTCTTCGGTTTCAGGGTTCCACGGTATAGAGGCCCCATGTAGGGTGTGCACGCAAAGGGGCACCATGACTTCAGTTTCAGGGTTGAAGGCCTGTTAAGGCTTCAAGGCTTGCACTTCCTTGTTCAAATACGATTTAAGCTTAGGGGTTTAGGGCTAAAGTTTAGGGTGAAGGGTTTGGGGTTTAGGGTTTATAGGGGTCATGCCGAATGAGCTGTCGACTTCAAAATCCTCACTGGAAAAACAGCGCAAGCGTAGTGCTGTATTCGGATTTTGGTGGGATTGGCGTGCGACTCCTCGTCACGCGGAGGGCAAGGATTTAGGCGTAAACATTGCTTATGAATTCAGATAAGGCATCGGTGCTCATCCTAAGGGTCCAAGTCTTCAATTCTCGTATACTTTGCGAACACCTGTACTTCCTTCACTTGTACCCGAGTACCCAAAGATTGGGTGCATGGACCTTCATGGTGAGTGCCGTACAGAAGGGATTCTTCATTGCAGGGGTCTCAGGGGGGCGACCATTTTTCAATGAAGGTGCTGCGAATAACGAACAACCGGCACAAAACCTGAAACCATGAGAGGAAAACGTGTAGAACCTTCGCTTCGGCAGCCTGTCGGCGTGTGGATGAGCCACTGGACAGATTGACCCACAACCATTCCCTAAACCCTAAACTCTAAACCCTAGCCCCTAAACCCTTCCTAAGCCGTAGATCTGCAGGCTACGGTGATGTGCTGCGAGGACAGCGCGTTTGGCCTTGGTTTTGGGGCACTACATGCATGTACCCTGTAAAGATAACAATGAGTGTAATGCAGCCACAATATGAATCATCATGGCCATAGTAATCAAAAGGGTATAATGTCTCGAAGAGTACTACTGTCGATGGAGGAAATCTTGCACCACCTTAAGTCCCTAAAGCCCTAAGAATTACAGTAGTCTAGGGCCCCTAGGTGGTGCAAGATTTCATCCATCAACAGTATGACCCTAAACCCTAAACCCCTAAACCCTAAACCCCTCAACCCCAAACCTGGTGGTGATGAAGGGACTGGGACGAGGAACTAAGTCGTCCCTTCGACTCTGACTCCAGACACCTGCGGTGGCTTTGCAAGTTAGGGTTTAGGGTTTGGGGTTTAGGGTTTAGGGTTTAGGGTTGAACCTAGTAAGATTATATTACTTATACAAAATCCTCTACCCCAATAGGAGGAGAAAATCTTACTCTATAGTGGGTACCATAATATCCCCAAATAACATACTACACAAATAACCCCTATATAATCCCAGTTTCCATTTCATTTCCATTTTCTTTTCCATTTGATTCTCCATTATTAGGGCCCTCAACCCTATAATGGGTACCATAATATCCCCCCCAAAAAAACTACTCAATTGGGTATTCACCCAGGGGATCCATGTGCTTGTGATTTTGGCACCACTACTTGGAGGATCAGGGGGACTTAGTAAGTGGGTTGATAACGGGGATAATTAGGGTTACTATATGGGTTATAGGGGTTATTAAGCCACTTACTAAGTCCCCCTGACCTTGTCGTGGAGGTAGATGATTATTGAGTATGTGGACCCTGAGGGTCAGACAGTCCAACACCCGTCACGTAAGGAATACACCTGAATCATAATAGGCCTCTTAACATGATTCTGAGTATCTTCTTTATTTGGCATTTTGGGTAGGATCAACGGTCTGTCTTAAAGGGTTTGGAGTCTGGGGCTTTCGGGGCTTTGGGTTCACGGCTGAAATTCCATGGCTCGCAGCTTAATGCGGTTCGAGTGGCGGTCTCATGGTTTTAGTGCGCTTTTGGTGCTTTGCTGGCAAAACCTAAGCCCTGAACCCTAGGCTTCGCATGCCTAGAATTCCAGGCTTGCTTGTAACGGCAGACGGTTCAGGGTTCCGGGGCGTAGGGTTCCGGTTTAGGCTTTACGGTTCCAGGTGTAGGGTTTTAGGGTTCTGGGTTGAGGGGTCAGGGCTTAGGTTTGAGAGCTTAGGGATTCACAGTTTCTCTATGGGTTTCTAATGCAAGGCATGACACCTAGAGACCGTACGAATCTTTCCCAAGTTCATATCTTTTGCGGTATGAGCTACAGTCGAGATTTCCTACATCATGGACATGGGCTCCTTACTCGGGACTATACTAAGGACTTCACTAAAGTACAAGAGGGACCCCCATGTGCACTGTTAAGGGCTCCTTAAGAAGGCCAAGATTGACAGTGGCTCGTATATTCCGTATTTCCCTGGAACCTCTTTAGAGGTGCCCTCAGGACCCAGTGGATTGATCAGGGATGGGGTTTAGGGTTTTAGGGTTTTAGGGCTGAGGGCTTAGGTTTTCGGGTTTAGGGCTTAACTTGCGCCAGAGCAACATGATCTGCAACTGCGACTCTTGCTGATGGCATGTGAAAGCACTAATTAGAGTCAGGGGTGTGCGGGTGAGTAGTCTCGAGGAATTGGCGTTTGAGGGTTTGGTTTAGTAAGCTAAACTGGGTTGCTGCCAAGGAACTTGAATTAAGTTACCATAATGGGTATATGTCGTAAATAATTAGGTTTTCCCCAATATAGGATCTTAAACTAAGCTCCCTAACAGCAACCCAGTAAACGCTGATACTGGTACCTGTCACATGCCCGATCCGCGAGAAGCTGCACAGGTCCGCCTGAAAAAATGCGTGATGAACGACTGATATTCTGAGAGTTTAGGGGTGTTCTTGTGCTTGGCAAAACCCTGAACACTCCTCTCGGAGAAGTCAGAGAAAGGCAGTACCAAGCCGTGTGGTCTCTGTTATTGTGGTATGCTTGCTTACCACACCTGCCTGACCCCAGAGCCGCTAGGAACTGCGCTTCAAGATGAGAAACCCCTAATACGAATCTGTAAGCGTGAGCGCCTACCTAGCCTCAAGCGAACATAATCCTTTGCTGCTACATCCCAGACCCCCAAACCCAAACCTTCACACTGGATGGCCTCTGAAGCAGCTGCTTGGCCTCCCGGTTTATAGGGTTGCGGGGTTCGGGGTTTCAGCCCAGGAATTGCAACGTAGAACCTTGGCTTAGTTATAAGCTTTCTGCAACAGAGAGTAAGGCCCTATGTCTCGTTTTGTTCAATCTCAGGGTTCCCTCCCTAAACCCTAAACTAAGTGAGG